CTGCGCGAGAAGTCGGAGAAGGCCGAACGGCCGACTGACCCACCGCTCTCCGACGTAGACGCCTGGGCTCAGTTCCTAGGGCAGAATGTGTTTCGCCGCCCACATGGGATCAGATTCGAAGGCAACCAGCCCGACCAGGCCCAGCTGCAAGGCTGGCTAATCTTCAAACAAATCGGGCCTGCCCGCCCGGGAACGAAGGAGGAGTCCCGTCGCACCCGCAATGTGGCAAATCACGTGATTTGCCGGTATTTCGCCGAGCACGCCGAAGAATATCGTGGGACGGTCATGTCCCTGGGAGGCACCATTTCGGAAATGTGGGCGCCGTCGCCATACCCCCATGCCGAAAACGTGGAAATCAATGATTTCCTGAAGCACGCGGCGATATGCGGACTCCAGCATGAAATGGCGGAGGGTCCCCTCCGCGCATTCGCTATACAGTGGCTCGCCGACTACACCGGACCCGCTGTGGCATGAGAATCGAAGCACGAGGGCCGTGTCCATTGACAGGCCTTCGAGTCGTAGTAAGTCCATTGACACTGCGACTTGCTAACTACTAATAATCTCTTTCCCTAGAGGGGGGAGGGTGTAACGGTAGTATAGTAGTACCGTATACGCTTTGTAAGCCGCCGCGAGGCGGCATGATGCAATAGACCAGATACCGCATCCCATTGGATGCGGTCACTCACAATAACAATGATGGCGCCTCAACACCATATGGCGCCCAAATCACATTACTGCGAGGCGTAGACATATAAACGCCCGCTACATTACCATGTACCGTATCTCTTTTGCTCAATACCACTCGGTTCTGTTCTGTTTCGGCCAAGTCGCGTCGTAGCATAGCATTACATAAGCTAGCTACTTTACACAACTCGATTGAAATGGGACGCCGCGGCGACGCAACTTGTGCAAGCTGCCCCTCAATCTAGTATCGCTGCTGTGAGCTGGGATGGTAGGACGGTGTGATGCAGCGTATCAGACCTCCCGCCTGCTTACATCTGCTTTTGCAGTTACGGAACTCGACATGAAGTCTATTCGGCTTCATTTCCAAGACGAAAATTACACTTTGAGGGAATACGTCGGTAGTTTCAATGGGTCCTGGTGAGTCTCCTTGCGCACGTCGTGCTGGATCTTAACTAATGTTGATTATAAGGACGTTGAACCCTCCGTCTGGATTTCAGATCCCTGCTTCTGGCCCTCTCGGATCATTGGCGGCGGTTGTTTGGGTTGGTGGCGGCGTTCAGATTCGGTTCGTCGAGCTACATCCTACTTCGACGCAAATCCAAGCATCACAATGTGATCAACAGCGTGTACTATCAGGATGCCTCTAAAGGAAAACTCTTGGAGCTACAGTACTCGAACAGTGCATGGAACACGTCAGTATCTCGCACTCTTCTCTGCGGATGGATCTGATCATGCGTGCAACCAGCAACGCTTTCCCGTATGAAATACTCGCGTGGTCCGATGCGGTGGCCACCGTGCAGCAGATCGCACCCGGCTTCGTGATCAACATCGCATGGGTCGGGCCCGATCAAGTAAGTTACCCAGTCACCGTCGCCAACCACGGCGCTTACCCGCGCCATAGCTGGTGCATCATCTGGCCTGGGATCCGTCTCAGAACTCCTGGATCGGGCCCTTGACGCAGTCCTTCGTAACGAAGGGCCCGCTTGTAGGACATCCGGTGGTCAATACTTTTACGTCCTTCAACGGTATAGGCCACAATTGATGAGCTACGGGGGGCGCTTACCATCCATCCAGATCTCAAAGGTGGTGCTGGAGTGAAAGTCATTTCGAAGGTCCGAGTCTCTTCGTCTGCTGTGATCAACGGCTTTGCTTTCGACTTCGCCGATGGCACCTCCACTCCGTGGCGCGGAAGTCAGAGCGCTGACCCTGTCAGCGAATTCGCCCTGAACGCGGGTGCGTGCGAGGGATTCACCGAGAGTTCATCCACTCCACGCGCGAGGACAGGAGAGACTATAACCTTTGTTCTCGTCGTATATGACGGCTTCAACGTTCGACGACTGGATCTCGTCACCTCGACCGGTGAGTAGGTGCGGTGGTTAACCCCGACTGATCCGTCCTCTCATCGTTGCGTGTCGACCGGTAGGGCGCCAGTCCGGCAATTACGGAAACTCGAGCGCGGATCCTATCATCTTGCACCAGGGTACCGCTCTACGTGGCTTCAGCGGCGCGTTCGGAAAGATCGCAATGGAGCCGAGTGTGTTCATCAAATGTCTCCAGGTATCTCCGTCACATCGTGATCTGGCAAGCACGGCTTGGCTCACCTAGAAACATAGCCGATATGGGCCACTGACTGAGAACGGCCCCCGGGCCTCGTGAAGGCTGATCTCGCGGATAGCAGGTGGAGGTCTACGGATCCGCTTCTGAATCCTGTTGGCCGTTCAAGGACTCGCCGGATGTATCTTGATTGTGTGTGGCAACGAGGATATGAGACGACGTGTACAAGTTTCGAGAATCTGATGTGCATCGCGCGCGATCAGAAACGCTGAACTTGTGGCGTGATTCACAGCCCTGGTGATCAGATTCGTATGACTAGAGCGGCAAATGTCGCGCGGAGCCGGTGCATAAAGCACGACAACTCTGATCATTCGTTGGATCTGCCCTGCGCGTGGCTACTCGCCGGCTTATGTATGACAAGTATGACCTGCCTAATCATTCGTTGCCCTGCGTGTGGCTACTCGCCGGCTTATGTATGACAAGTATCACTTCTGGCGCACAGTCGTCGTAGCGCGGGATATTCATACTGTGAGTGCTGTCATTCCGTCATATGTCATACCTACCTGGGCTAGATGCAACGCGGTCCCTCGCCACATCATGTATGACAGTGTCCATCCCGGCACATCGCCCGCTCGTAGAATATTCGTACGGTGAGCGCAGTCATTCTGTCATATGTCATACTTACCTGGGCCAGATGCAACGCGGTCCCTCGCCACATCATGTATGACAGTGTCCATCCCGGCACATCGCCCGCTCGTAGAATATTCGTACGGTGAGCGCAGTCATTCCGTCATATGTCATACTTACCCGGACAAGATGCGACGCACTTGCTCACCACCTTATGTATGACAGGCGTAAATCCCGGCTTGAGGGAGTGGTATTGATTTCACGAGGGTGATCATGTTTCTGTCATATCCATTCTAGCATGATCATGCGTGCCGCCTTATGTATGATAGGCGCTGCCGCCGGGAGAGGTTCGGCTCTCTCATGCGAGTGCTTGATATCGTCGCATGGCTGGATAAAACCGCGCGATAGCGATTTGTGTGGTGAGCTGATTGTACTCCTAATGGCTTAACGGCGTGCGCGCGAGATTGCGCATGCGATGCGACGGGCGCGATGCGACGCGACGGGTGC